ATTCCTGCTCCAAAGCTCTCCCCCTTGGCCTCCTGGGGACACTGACAGACCATCCCCCTGGTGGTCAGCAACCCCAGAGCTTCCTGCCAAGACTCGCCCCGTTGCAATCAGCAGCCCTAGCAGATGCCAGGCCAAGTTCTCAGGGATGTGGAGAGTAGAGAACAAGAGGCTTGGGTCACGTCAGGCTGCCCACTTGCAACCCTCAATTATCACCCTGGGTGTTGAAATGTAGGAAGCTGAAAAGGGAGGCGGGCGGGGAAGTGCTGGATTGTGGAGATGAAGCCAGGAGTAGCAGACTCAGACTTGTGACTAAATCCTCTTCTTTGGATCCAAAATCAGTAAGTGACTCTCCAAGAATGATCCTGTTTTCCCCACCTTTGTTCCCCGGAGCAGAAAGAGCCATACTTCCAGGAGAATCGACCCCAGTGTGTGACTTGGGGCAAGTCGCCTCATGAGCTAAATGTGAGGTGAGAACCCGTGGTATCCCTGGTTATGCCAAGGCTCCCCTGGCTGGGGGCGGGGGGCAGGAAGCCAGTTCACGTGGTGAGTGACTAAGATGGGGAAGCAGTGGGCAGGTGGTCTGTGCCCATCAACATCCATCTCCCTTCTGGTCTCTCTACCCCAGGTTTCCTTGAGAGCCACCCTACCCTTCCCTCAATCCCTTTGGGTCCCATGAGGTTGACCCATGAGACACATGGCCCAGCCTGACCTACCAGAGTACCTCAACCCTCTGGCTACAGTACTTGGTTCAGGAAGGCCCATGTGGCCCAAGCCAGAACTTTCCCAAGAGTTGTCAGGAAAGGGGTACTCCATTTCTGGGGGGGTGGCTAAGTTGATAGATTAGAGCTACCCTCTAGCTCTAAGAGCTTAGAGCTAGAGAAAAAGGGGAAAAAGAATTCCTAATATCAACTGAGCACCTGGATCCAGGCTATGCCTGAAGCCAGATACCCCTACACTTTTCAGTTACATCGGCCAATAAGTTCTCTTTTTGCACAAGACATTTGAGCAAAAGCGAAAGTCTCTAGAAGGATATGAATATCTTCTTCACGTTCTGGCTCCACGGCAAGAGCAGGCCAGCAAAGGGAAAATAAACTAGGGGTAGAGGGGTTGTTTTAAGTATTTGGAGGCAAGATACTTGAAATACCCCAAACAGAAACTTCCTGCTTCCCTTGCCCTGGAAAGGGTGATTTCCTTAGTCTCCACCTTGGGGCTGCAGCTCCAGTCCCCACACCAAAGTGGAGACCATTCATTCAACACTCTTGAGAACTTACTATGAAGTTGACCTTAGGAGAGGCAACAGACACAGAAATGGAAAGTGTGGCTGATGCCCTGAAAGAGTTTTCAGACCAGAGGGGGATAAAGGCATGCAAACAAGGCTTTATAATACAGGGTGAGAGCTTTGATGGGGAAGCACAGGCAGGGGGCCCTGGGGTCCCAGAGGAAGAGGGCCTATTTCCACCAAAGGAGGGAGGCTGACGGGGAAGGCTTCCCAGAGAAGGTGATGCCTGAGATAAGACCCAGAAGACAGGTAGAAGGAAGCCAGTGAATAAATGCGAGGAGGATTGTCCAAGCAGAGTGACTACAAAAACCAAGGAACTGAGGCTGAAGATGGCAGACAGAGTGTTGGAAATTAAAACCAATTCTTCATCACAAGGTACCAAGTCCTAGGATAAGAGCGGTGAGGCTGGAGGCCAGATCCTGCAGAGATTTATAAACCATGTAAAGAATTTGGAGTTTAAAACTGAAGGGTCTTAAGCAAAGGAGTCAAGAGCTGGATTTGTGTCTTCGAAAAATCACTGACTGCAGCATCAAAGGTGGATTAACAGGAGTTCAGTTCTGAGGCTGTTTGGCAAGGGATGAAGACACTGGGCTAAAAGAGTGACAGTGGGGGGAATGATGACATCATCGCACTGCCATTTATTGAGCCAGACTGTATGTGCCAGACTCTGTGTTAAGCCTTTACAGGGATAAGCTTTTTAATCCTTTTAACAGCCCTACCAGGTAATTGCCAGTATCAACCCCATTTGACAGAAGAGAAAACTGAGGTACAAACAGGTTAAGCAAATTGGCCTAGACCATACATTTGGGAGATGGGAAAGCCAGAATTCCAACCCAGACAGGCTGGCTCCAGTATGCCCAGAACAGTGAAGAGGGGCAGAAGGGAGAAATATTTAAAGGATCATGTTGGCAGAACAGGTCTGATTGGATGGCAGGTGGGGTTAGGGGGGTGGTGGGGCCTTGTGTCTCCCTGGCAGGACCGGCTACATAATTTGAGGGGCCCAGTGCAGAATGAAAGGGCTGGACCCTTTGTTCAGAACTTATTAAGAATCTAAAGATGGTGACAGCAGAGCATTAAACCAAGTGTGGGACCCTTCTAAGCGTGGGGCCCTGTATGACTACAGAGGTCACACACCCATGAACCTGGCCGGCCCTGCTTCCAGGTTTCTGGTCCAGGAGCCTGGTCAAGGTGGGGCAATTCCCAGGGATGGAATAATCCAGAAGTTCATCTGGAGTGGAGTAGGGGAGGAGAAAATGAGGAGTTCCGTTTGAGACCTACGAGGTCACGTCCAGAAGGCGAATGGGATATACAGTATGGGTCTGGTGCTCAGAAGGGAATTCGGGGCCACAGCACAGAGCACGCTGGTTACCAAAGACCCTTCAGGTCCAAAGTTCAGTGTTGCCTCTAGGCTCCCTGAGCTCGCTAACCGACCCCAGATGGCCTCTTTCCAGTTTCCTCTCTGGGTCTAGGCACCGGCTCCCCCTGCCTGCTGCCCCCTGGGCACTTGCTGCTTCTCGTGGAACTGGCTGGTTCCCATTTCCCAGAATGCCAAGAGGCCACTTTGTGAAACCTCCGTCTCCTGGCTAGACCTATGCCCAGACTACCTCCGACACTGGTCCTGAGGCCCTGTGTTCGAAGATTCTCAGCGGCCTGACAGTTTGTAAACTTTCCCTAGAGCTCTCCTCTGCGAGATCTCAGGAGACCTGGTGGAGCCTGTTTACGCCCTCCGCCCTCCGACTGAGGAGGAGGTAGCTTCGGCCCCAAATGGTGATCTGCCCGAGGCCTCCCAGCGTTGTGCCAGCTGGGACTTGCCCTGGTGCCACAGCCCCATGGCAGCTCCACGGCATCCCACCTCCTGCCCCTCATCAGTCCGACAGAGAGAGCCTGGCTCAAGCATTCATTCGCTCACTCATTCATTCATTCATCTGACAGATATTTATTTACTGAGAACATACTGTATATCAAATGCTGGGAACAGAGGGAGAGAACTAATTACACAAGTAATTAACCTCTGAGCACCTTGAGGAGGGTTAAGATGAAGGGGTAGGGCTCCAAGAGGGGCGGGTCTGGTTTCAACAGGGCTGAGGGGGCCGTGTAATCATGTGTCAGTTCTCCGGCCTGTAGCATTTCCCAGAGGCGGCTACACTAACGCACTTCCCATCCTGCAAGCTCCTCTCGTGACGATGACACTCCTCCATCAAGGGATGGTGTCTACATTCCTGCCTTGAACCTGGGCAGACCCCATCCAATAGCAGAAGGCAGAGCTTCCTCTGAATGCCTTGCGCGGCTAGGTCATAAAAGGCGATGTAACTTCCACCTGGCTCTCCGAGGACATGTGTCTTTGCAGCCACCATCTGATTTCAACTTCATGAGAGAATGGAACAGACTGTCCAGCTGAGCTGCTCCTGAATTCCTGACCCACAGAAACCCTGAGAGATACTACATGGTTATTTTTGTTTTAAACCACTAAGTGTTGGGGTCATTTTCTGGCAGCCACAGTAACTGGAACACTGAGGAAAGGTGGGGGTGAGGGCATGTGGACAGCAGTGTTCTGGACAGAGAAAGCAGCATATGCAAAGGTCCTGAGGTGAGAAGGAGGTGCTACAATGAAGGTGCAGAGGTTGGCAGGACCATCTCCCAGGCTTTCCAGGGCTGTTCTTTTGATTCTACCGGCATCTCTCCTGTGAACAGACAATCCTATTTGCTCTTCTGTGCAGAGAGGCGTTCTGTGTTAGTGCAATTATGGGGCCCATGTCTATTTAATTAAGCCCTAGGGGGTGGTAGAAATTAACATTCATTCTTTCTTTCAATCAATAGGATTAAATGCATTGCCTGTGCCAGGAGCTTCCCTTGTCATATCGGTGCCCACGAGGAGGTGTTAATGCTCCCTCCAGTGCACAGATGAAGAGGCTGAGGCCGAGCGGCAGGCGTCCTCACACACTGCCTTGACAGGTACGTGGGAGGAAGTGGGATGGGCTCTGGGGCCAGCATGGTTGTTGAGCCTGCCCACCTTTGCCACTTCCGGGTCAAGCCCCTCCAGGCTGTGTGACTTTGGACAATTCACTTTCCTTCTCTGGGTTTCAGTTTTCTCCTCTGCAAAATGGGGACGATAATAATGCTGGCCTTACTGAGATTATCTCGAGGCTCAACCTACACAATCTTAACGCTAGCTGCCCTTACTCTGGGCTCATCTGCGCCCAGCACTGTGATAAACTCGTGACTTACATTAACATTCTTCTTTCTTGCAAGGGCAGAGGTGGTGTGACCCCCTTTACAGTGGAGACAGTGGAGGCAGAGGTGGGCAAGCAGGGCTCCGTGAATGCTGGTGGCTGATGACCAGCTGCCTTTCCTTTTCCTGCCAAAGCCTCACACACCTGGTTTCATGTTCTCAGTCCCCCGGATGAGCCCCTACTTTGCTGCTGTCCCAAGCAGCCTGCCCACTTCAAAACGCCGTCAGGATTTGGGAAGACAAAGGGAAAAAAACAATACCAAACAGCCGGATAAGCCCCCACTCTGGGAAAACAAGCAGAGAAAGCCAGAAGGCAGCCCACACAGGAAGGGCCCAACCAACTCCTGGGCACCTTCTGTCCAGCAACCAGGTCCCCCAAGGACAAATCCTGGCCCCTGTGGTGTTTACATTCCAGCAGGGTGGGGGAGGGGAGGTACATAATAACTGTGACACTGATGACAGCAACAACCAAAAACATTTATTTAGCGCTCACCTTGTGCCAGCATTGCTGTAACTCAATTTTCACACCCTGTGAAGTGCATGGTATTATTTCTCTCTGTTCACCGAGAGGAAATGGAAGCACAGAGAGGTTAAGCGACTTGCCCGAAGTCACACAGCTGATAAGTGGTGGAGCCAGGATTTGAATCAGTAAACAAGTTAACAAGTAAATCAAAAATTCCTCAGTCCCCACGCGCAGAACTCATATACATTCCTCATGCAAGAGATGGGGTTTACCCAGCTGACACACCAGAGTATGGAAGCCGAGAGAGGTGAAGTTGCCCACCCAAGGTCTCAGGGCCAGTAGTTGGGGCAGGAGGATTTAGAGCCAGCTGCCGCTAACTCGGGCACTGCTGCACCCCAAGCTCTTCTCCCCAAAATCTACTGCCCCAAGACAGGACAATCTCTCATTACTGTCACAGCAACGGAGCCAGGGCCACCTTAAGGCCCAATGTCCCTCCAGGCCCTGAGGGAGAAAGGAGGATGGGAGCCGCTCCGGCTGGGGCGCCCACTTCCCTGGCTTTGCAAGGATGTTCTCTGTCTCTAGAAACAGATTGAACTGGCTGCCTCCTCCCCAGCCTCACCCATCTGCCCCCCTCCCCTTTGCTCCCTGTAAGGTCACTTCACTGTGTTCCGAGGCTAACTGGGAATCAAAGGGGGGAAGGTGGAGCGGGGAGAGAAGGGGAAGGCGTTGGGGGCTGAAATTTGAGATCCCAGCCTCCCTGTGGGGGGAGGTTGGAGAGAGAGACACAGAGAGACAGAGACAGGAAGAGAGAATTCGGTTGCCTTTGGTTTTCCAAAGCGGGCAGCTTGGGGGTTTGTGTGTGCGTTGTTTTCTTTCCTCCGCTCAGGCAGGGAGGCCAGGCCTCCCCTGGATAATCCAAGGACTCAGGGGCGAGGCAGGCAAGCCAGTGCAGGGACACGGCAGTGTGCGGACAAGAGTGAGGAGGCAGGAAGGGAAAGGGGGAAGAAGAGAGGTGAGGGGGTGTCTGGGGCGGGAGCCTGAGGCGGTGGGAGGAAGCAGAGCAGCTGTGGTATTTGGAGCAAGTATAAATAGCCGCCTGGACGGAGCTTGGCCAAACAGGGCTTTGCAGCTGCAGCGGCTGTGCAGGCGGGACTGGCCACTGTTGGCCACGGTGGGTGCAAACTGGGCAGGGAGACAGGCGGTGGACAGGCACGGCCCCTGGGCTCTGACCTGACACCGCTCGCCATCACATCTCTGGATGCCTTCTCGGCCAGCCATGCTGCTGAGTGGCCTCCTCCTCGTTGTGGCCACCACGACTGTGGCCCAGCGGAGGGGGCAGGAGGCCGGCGGGCGCCGCCGGGCACACCGAGTCCAGCATGGCCAGTGCAGCTACACCTTCGTGCTGCCCGAGCCTGAGCCCTGCCCGCCGGAGCCCGAGGCCTTCGGGGGCTCCAACAGCCTCCAGAGGGACTCCCCGGCAGCCGCACTGAACCTAGGGGACTGGCCGACCCAGCGGGTACGACAGCTGGAAAAAATGCTAGAGAACAACACACAGTGGCTGCAGAAGGTAAGGGTTGGGCCTGCAGGAGGGTGGTGCGCAGCGAGCAGCAGGTGAAACATCTACCCCAGAGGCCTGCCCTGGACACAGATGGCCAGGCTGATAGGTCCTTTGTCTCCGAATTGTACGGGTTGGGATGATGAGGCCCAGAAAGAGAGGAGCCTGAGGCCACACAGCAAGACTGGGCGGAGTCAGAGCTGGAAACCTGACTCCCTAACTGCCATTCATTCATTCATCCGATTAAGGTCCAGGCCCATCCTAGGCGCTGGGGATACAACAGTAAACAGAACCGTACATCCCTGTCTGGACTAGTGGAAGAAAGAGGTAATAAAGAGATGAACAATAAATATCTATTCTGTCAGATGGTGAAGCAAAATGAAAAAGGGAAAAAGGCAAGGAATGACCAGAGGTGACTATTTGAGGTCAGATAATCTGAGAGGACTTCTCGGAGGAGGTGGCGTTTGAGCCCAGAGAACAAGCAAAGTGATGAGGCAACCCAGGAAGGTATCTGGTGGGAGGGCATTCCTGGCAAAGGGATCAGTAAGTACAAAGGCTGTGTGGTGGGAATGTAGCTGGGTTACCTGGGGAACAGCAGGGTGGCCAGTGTGGCTGGAGCAGAAAGGAGGAGCAGAGGGGTGAGGGACAAAATCCGAGAGATGAGGGGAGGGCAGACCATGTTGGGCCTTGGAGTCCACTGGGAAGGATTTTGACTCTTTCTCTGAGCATCACGGGAGCCATTGCAGGGTTTTGAGCAGGTGAGAAACACCTGACTTAGTTTTAACAGAATAGACTGTAGGAGAAGATTCAATGCTGGGAGCCCAAAGAAGAGACCACTGCAGCCACCAGGCAAGAAGTGATGGAGGTGTGGAGCAGAACAGAGCTGGGGGAGGGGGTGTGGCCGTCAGGTTCTAGTATATTCTGAAGAGGGCGCGAATGGACTCTGCTGATGAATTGAATATGGCGTGGCAGAGATCAAGGAGTTGAGGACTCCACTGCCATTTTGGCCCAAGGCCAGGGCCACTCTAGGGTCTCCTGTCCTCATACTTTCAGCAGACACTCTGAGCACCCGCCATGTGCCAGGCCCCAGGCAAGACACTGAAGTACAGAGGTGAACGAGGCAGGTTTGGCCCTGGGTGGGGTGGGGGCAGAAAAGGCATCCTGTGGTGTCCAAGATGGGGAGCAGTCCCTCCTTACCCATGGTTTCCAAATTTTTCAGATCATTTGCCCGATCAGCAAACAACGCTTCGCTCCCCCAGTACACGCATATTTATTTAGAATTTATGCACGTGCGCCCATATTAATATAATATGTACAGGGTATGAGACAAATGAAAATGGAACTTTAAGAAGATAAGATATGGGGCTTCCCTGGTGGCGCAGTGGTTGAGAGTCCGCCTGCCGATGCAGGGGACGCGGGTTCGTGCCCCGGTCCGGGAGGATCCCACATGCCGCAGAGCGGCTGGGCCCGTGGGCCATGGCCACTGGGCCTGTGCGTCCGGAGCCTGTGCTCCACAACGGGAGAGGCCGCAACAGTGAGAGGCCCGCGTACCGCAAAAAAAAAAAAAAAAAAGAAGAAGGTAAGATATGACATCATGTAAACTGAAGTTCTGGTGGTTTCCTCCTGTTTTCCAAAGGGTTGCCCTCTGCATACCCTGGGTTGGTCCATCCCCCAGGTGGAGAGGTTGCTCTGTATGTATCTAGTCAAGCTGATTTGTGCACACACTCGAATACACACTTAACCTCCTGTTTCATTCCTGCCCTGGCCATCTATCTCCCTAGCCCCCCACTCACCATCTTCCCATAGTCCCTGCCTTTTTGCCCTCCACCCCTCCTGCCCTGCAGCGCTTCCAGCTGCCACCATCCCACCCCTGGACTCCCCTTCAAGGGAGCTCTTGGCCTCATACACCAGAGCCCAACCCAGGGGGCTCCCTGCTGCCTTGAAATCTGTGTGTGTCTCTTCAGGCAGGTGTTTCCAGTCCCATAAGGGTCGTGCCAAACCTCACCTCCTCCTCAGGCCTCCATCTTCACCCCCTGTCCATCATCTCACCAGACCATGGACCTCCTACTTCAAAGAGAAATGGGGCCTGCCCCACACTTGCAGATTCACCCATGCACCCATCAGTCCCCAGGGCCTTTCTCTGGCTCAGAGGGAAGTGTTCCTCCATGAGCCAAGGCCACTCTTCCCTACCTGCGGGTTCCATCCCTTGCAGCCCCTCAACCTCCTCAAACCAACCATGCCCTCCTGTGTCTCTAACAACACCTCCCTCTCTGCTGTTCCTTCCCCTCAGTCTTTAATTGCATCCAAGTATCTCCTGTGTTAAAAAAGAAAGAGAAAGCAGAGAATGAGGAGGAAGGAGAACAAGCCCCTTCTCCAACCCCCACACCCTCTGACGTCTGGCCTGTCTCTCAGAAATCCACAAGCTCTGCCTCCACTTCCTCCTCCACTCTCTCCTTTCCCTAAGCAGCCTCCCACTTCCCACTTCCCACTTCCCACTTCCAATGGCCACAGCTCAGTCTTCATCTTACTTGACTTCTTGGCAAATTTAATATTGCTGACCAATATCATCCTTCTAGAAACAGTCTCCATCAACCAGTCCTCAGCTGCTACTCCGACTACTTTCCCTACCTCCACCCAGGACCAGCCACCTCCATCTCCTACCTGTATGGTCGTCATGGCCGCTGCCCTGGGCTCCATTTCCACCCTGACCCCCATAGGTCATTCTGCACTCAGCAGACAGAGGGGTCCCGTTAAAACCTAAGCTAGATCCTCTCCTCAAAACCCTCCTGGGACTCCCATTCTCTTTAGTTATTCTCTTATTGAACAAAAATCCTTACAGCCTGGAACACCCCTCACCCAGACACTTCTGTGGCTCACTCCTGACCCACCTCAGGTCTAGTGCTTAAATGTCACCTCCTCAGAAAGGCCCTGCCTGTCCACCCCATTTAAAATAGCCACAATCCTTCTGCCACTCTCTATCCCTTTACTCAGCTTTGGTTTTCTCCCTTAACACCTGCCACCACCTGTTCTTAAAAGCATTCCTTTTGGTCTGTGAGCCCCAGGAAGGGAGGAGCCATGTCTGTTTTGTTCACTACTGGGTTCCCAGGGCCTAGAACAGTGCCTGGCACATAGTAGGTGCTCAATTCATGTCTGTTGAATGGATGAATGCATGGACGCACAAGCATCCTCCAATCTCTCAGGCCACTCCTGCTCCTTTCCCCACCCTGAAATGTTGGTGTTTCCTAGGACACAGTCTCCATTCTTTGCTTCCTCTCACACTTCGTGGCACAACCCACAGGGCTGCCCCTGTCACTTCCAGCAACACCGTCTCCAACCTGCCCCCCAGTGACACCAAACCAACATCTGATGGGCTCCTGATCTCCTCTCCGAGGGCTCACAGTATCTCAACTCCAAAGCTGCCTGAAACTCAGCTCTTCCCTCCCCTGCCCACCTGTCCTGTTGAAGACATTACCACCCAGCCAGTAGGTCATCTATGGCCCTGGGGAGTCCTTCACCCCCAACTCACCCCCAGGCAGCAGGTCCCAACCATCCTGTTGCCTCAGTTTCTCAGGCTATCCTCCTGTCTTCCTGGCCACTGCCCTGGCTCAGGCCTTGTCACCTCTCCTGTGGACACTTCTCTCACCTCCCACCTGCTTTTTCTCCCCCAGGTCTCACCTTCTCATCCATCTTTGACTCCCCTGGGTGTCTAGTGCTTGGATAACATTGGCTGAGCCAAATGATGGATTTAAACCAATGGTTTTCAGGTTAGGAGGTCACTTGCCTCTTTATCTGGCAGTGGAGTGTCCTCTCCAGGTATCTGTCCACGTAGCCTGATAATCCCAGGCAGGGGTCACCATGGAGCACCATGGGGCTAAAGAGTACTGACGTGGGAATCAGGTGGACCTGAGTTCACATCCCGGCCCCAGCACTTACTTGCCACGTGGCGGTTGATAAGCAAGGCTCAGTTTTCCCTTCTGCAAAGTGGAGAGAAGAACAGTATGTTAAGGGGTGGCTGGGAGGACCAGTGAGACCACTCACAGCCTGCTGCCCGGCTACAACATATGAAGACGTGGGGTCGCTCACCTGGGCAGGGATACAGCAGCTCAGTAGGCTTTTACTCCACTCAACATCATCTCTGTTTGGAGCTCTGCACCACTGGGTGGGGGAAGCTCAATCCTCGTCAAGTCAGTCCAAGGGTGGCAGGCAACCTTGGGGCAGGGAGTGTCACTTGTCCATGCTGGTATTCTCGGGGGTCCCCAATCCTGCCTGGTCTCTGTTGGGGTCCAAGCAGAGGTTTGTTGTGCCATCTCCTGGGTACCCTTGGGTTGAGTGCCCCCTTCCTGCCCTTTGGTCTTTGGGTTACTGCCAGATCACCCTGTGCCGGTGGAGCCTGCCACAAGGTGAGACCCATTGGCAGTCGCTTTCCTCTGGATCCTGTCACCTCCTGGGCAGCAGCATAGCCTGGAATGTGAGAGCCCCAGATCTGGAGCCCAGCTTCTGGGATTCGAGACCCATTCTGCCCCTTTCTGACTGTGTGACTTGAGGCAAGTTGCTTCACCTCTCTGAGCCTCAGTTTCCTCACCTATAAAATGTGGTGACAACACTATCTACCTTCATGAATATTTAATAAGGTGATGTATATGAAGTCCTTTGCCCGGCACCAGGCGCACAGTAAATTCTCAATCAGTGTTGGCTGTTTCTATTAGGAGTTCTCCCTGGAAAGAAACACAAATCCTGCGTTTCTTGAGTTCTTCCTCTCCCAGATGAGACATGTGGCCCCCGGCTCAGAGACACAAGGCCCCTGAACAGTCATCTCTCTCCCTCTGGTCAGGGGTGCTTGCTACCTTCTGTGACCATGACCTGCCTCTGGCTCTTCTCTTGTGTATTCTCTTGGTCTGGGCTTATCTCACAGTATTTGAAATTTGAGGGCCTCTTTTTGGCTTCTGCTGTAATCTCCCAGAAGAGAAAAAAAATGAGTTTCAAAATATTCTCATCACCATCGCCATCAGGGA